TTTTAAGAACATGGGGGAGACTTGACCTTGCTTAGGTGACCACAATCACCAGATCTCAATCCAATGAGCATTTGTGAGACGAAGTTAAAAGAGCCATCAGGCAGCTGGTTCCACAACCATCAAACCTCACAGAACTGGATAGTTCTATTCATTAGGCATGGTGTCAGATTCCTTGCATCACCTTTCAACATCTCGTGGAGTCAATGCCAAGAAGAATCGCCACAGTATTCAAGGCAAAAGGTGGCCCAAAAAAGTACTGATTGGGTGGTCATAATAATCTGGCCACTCAGTGTATATATACAGTATTTTTAAAGCAGCCCTGGTGTGGTTCAGTGGTTGAATATTGACCCATGAACCAGAAGGTCACAGTTCAATTCTGGGTCAGGGCACATACCTGGGTTGTAGGCTTGATCCTCAGTGTGGGGCCTGCAGGAGACAGCTATTCAATGGTTCTCTCTCATCATTGATGTTTCTGTCTCTCTCCCCTACTCCCTTCTTCTCTGAAATCAATAAAATATATTTTAAAAATAAATAAATATAAATAAAAGGGACCAAACAAATTTTGGAGCCATGAAGTACTGTAACTGAAATGAAATGTCCCCTGGAGGGATTCCAAAGCAAATTTGAGCAGGCATTAGAAAGAATCCATGATTCCAAGATATGGTGACTAAAATCATTGATTCTGAGGAGCAAAAAGGAAAAGGAATGAAGAAAAGTGAATAGGAGCCTAGGCGACTTTTAGGGCACTGCCAAGTGAACCATCATACACATAATGGTAGTTGCAGAAGAGGGAGAAGGATAAGAAAGAGAGAGGAAATGGGCAGAAAGATTATTTTAAGAAATAATGGCTGAAATGTTCCCAAATTGACTGAAATACCTAAATCTACATATCAAATAAGATAAAAACAAATTTCAAGTTGAAAAAAAAATCAAAGAAACTCACTCTGAGGCATATCACAATCACACTATCAAAAGACAAGGAGACTGTCAAGGCAGCAAGAGAAAAGCAGTTGCCTCCTGCTTTATGTCATTACCAGCCTATCAATAGCAGTGTTAGTGGCTGGGGGTGCCTGAGGCACGCACCTGGGCTCATGCTACTTGTGGGGAGCCCCCAGAGGCATTTCTCCAACCAGAGTTAGTGTTGTAGCTGGACCAGATCTTATGGTTCTTATTATGATGGTAAAATGTATCTCAGCAACAACCATCAGAGAACTTTGAAAAAACAAGATTTATTACTCTCAGGTTGTTATAATTGTGTGAAGTGTGTTTAACATTTAGCGTTATATAGTTCAATACCTAATATATGAATCTGTTATATTTAAGAGTGAATATTATACCTAGTATCTGTGTGAATGCCCTCGTAGCTGGGTGAACGCCCCAGTAACTGGGTGAACACCCTAGCAACTGTGGGAACTCCCTAGCAACTCCCGCCTGGTCCCAGAACCGTTACAAGCCTGAGACCCACTGATAAGACACCCTGAAGACCCATTGGTGACACCTACAGAGAACAGAGGTTCACCCAGAAATGGCTATAAAGAAGCAAGGTTGGAGGCATCAACCAGAGACGCCCGAAGGCTCCTCCACTGATGGTCGCTCTCCGCTCCCCTTCTCCTCCTGCCCGAAGCTCTGCCCAAGCTCGATTGAGCTCTCTGTGAACCTCCAGGCCTTTACCGATGCCGAGCTGCAGCTGCAACCGTATCCTGAGTATGTGTCTGTCAGCGTGGATCTCTGGGTGACTTGTTCCGAGTTCTGGAACCCACCAGGCCTTAGGTAAATAAACCATGTGTGATTCGTGCATTTAATATTTGTCTCTCTGTGTTTGATTTTATGTTCAGCCAGTTTTAAGTACCTTGTTTCCTCCATATAAGTCCACTACGTGGCTGAGGAGCCCTTGGTCACCTGTGCGTACGTCCTTAGTATATATATACTATTTGGACACAGGTCCTGAAAGGTACACAAGAAAACCAAGTACTACATAGTAAAATCATTGGTAGACACAGTTTACTAATGAGGGAGTTTATTACTGCTACAGCTGCCCTTCAACAAATGCTACAGGAAGTGCTTCAGGTTAAAATGAAAAAAAGGTAGGCAGTAACTAACGCTATATGAAGAAATAAAGATCCCCAGTAAGTATGTGTACAAATATGAAAGCTAGTGGAATTATTGTAATTTTGGTTTATAAACCTTTTTTTATTTTATAATATTTTAAAAAGACAAATGCATAAAAAACAACTACAAGTTTAAGCTACTGTATATACAATATACAATGATGTAACTTGTACAATAGCATAAAGGCGATGAATGGGAGTAGCATTTTTCAACGTGATTGAAGTTAAGTTGCTATCAAATCAAATTAGATTATTACAACTTTAGGGTATTATAAATAATATCCATGATAATTACAATTAAAATATCTACAAAATAAAATGAAAATGTGTCACTATAAAAATCAAGTAAACACAAAGAAAAAATATGGAAGAAATGAGGAACAAAAATATAATGATATACAGAAAAAAAATAGCCAAGTACCGATAGTAAGTTCTTATTTATTAGTAATTATTTTCACTATAAATGGATTAAACTTTCCAAAGAAATGATAGAGACTAGCAGAATGAATTTAAAAATTTTTAAATTAATTTATTGACTTAGAAGAGATAGAAAGGAAGAGAGAGATGGGAAGGGGAAAAAGTGGGGAGAGAGAGAGAAACATCAATATGTTATTATACTTATTTATGCATTCATTGGTTGATTCTTATATATGCCCTGACCTGGGATCAAACCCACAACCTTGATGTATTGGGAGGATGCTCTAACCAACTGAGCTAGCTCGCCAGGGCCAACAGAACAAATTTTAAAATGATTCAAGTATGTGTTGTTTACAAAAGACTTTAGGTCTAAGGACACAAATATATTGAAAGTGAAGGGATGAAAAAGATATTCCATGCAAACAGAAACTAAAAGAGAGCTGGGGTGGCTATACTAAAATCATATAAAATAGACTTTAAGTCAGAATTTGTTATAAGAGACAAAGATAATATATTATTAATAAAATGTTCAATTCACAGAAATATATACACATATATTAATATATATAAGCTGAACATCAGACTTCCAAAATATGACTTTATGTATTGACAATATTGAAAGGAGAAATAGATAATTTCACAATAATAGTTGGAGACCTCACTATCAATGGTGGGTAGAGGATTAGTGAGGATATAGATGATTTGAACAACTTATATATACCATTTAGAAGTAACAGGTATATACACACCACACCATGAAACAATAACAGAGTACATATTTTTCTCACAGCTCTGGGTTTTTGTTTTGTGGATACCATGAGGTTTGTACAAAATTCCTTATAGATAAACTAGTCTTTATTTTTTCCTTATTGCATCTGATTTTCATTTTCCTATACAAATTCAGTTCTTTTCCTTTCCCCCCTTTGTTTTTATCTTCACAAATTATCCCTTTTTCTGTTGTGTTCACTAACAAATTCTAGTAGCAATAGTTATTACTCTTTTATCTTTAACCCTTATAATTATTTAAAGCCCTATTCTGAAATAGAGTTGCAATTTTTTGCTTGTCTGTAACCTTTCTCAAAGTTTTGTATACTTTATTTTTAAGGTAGAAAAGCTATTTTCAACATTTATTATAATGCAGGTCTTATGGTGGTAAATTCCTTAAGCTTTTGTTTTCTGGGAAGAAACTGAACATAAACTGTGCACCTATGGATGAGGACAATGGGGAGTGGGGATGGGATGGGATGGGCAGAGGGTGGGATGGGAACCTGGTGGAGGAGAGCAATGGAAGGGGGCGGGGGGAAGGAACATTTGTAATAATATGAACAATAAATATTTGTTTTAAAAAAATACCTATCTTCCTCAAACACTTTTAAAAAGTGGATGAAGAGAGGATGCTTCGTAATTCATTTCACAAGGTCAACATTACCCTCATGCCAAAGTCAGGCAAGGACATCAGAACAACAACAACAACAAAAATTGCAGGCCAATGGGTCTGATGAGCTTAAGTGCAAAAATCCTCAATAAAATACTAGCAAATAGAATACAACAATATATTAAAAAGATAACACATCATGATCAAGTGGGAGTCATTCCAGGGATGCAAGCATGGTTCACCATATGCAGGTCAATCAGCATGATAGACCACATTAACAAAATGAAAGAATAGATGCAGAAAAAGCATTTGACAAAATAAAATACCTCTCAATAAAATAAGAATATAAGGAAAGTACCTCAACACAATAAGGACCATATATGTCTGGCCAGTGTGGTTCAGTGGTTGACTGTCAACCTATGAACCAGGAGGTCATGATTCAATTCTTGGTCAGGGCACCTAGTTGGATTATGGGCTCCATTTCCAGAAGGGGCTGCAGGGTGTATCCAATCAATGATTCTATCTCTATCCCTCTTCCTTCCTCTCTGAAATAAATAATATGAATATAAATCTGAATATAAATAATATGAACATAATATAAATGTAAATGTAAATGTAAATACAAATACAAATATATATATATATATATATATATTTTTTTTTTTTAAAGTTTATTTACTTCTCTCTATCTACTAACAGGCAGCCAGAGAGCAGGGATCTGGATGTGGGGTGCGGTCCTGCTGGCTGCGGGCTCTGCTCTGGGTGTGGGGGTGCGGTCCCCAGCCAGGTCGGGGCCACGGTGCCTGGAACAGGCTCCTCCTGCAGGGCCAGCGGGTGCCCGCACCTGCCCCACAGCTGGAGGCTCAGATGCTGCAGAGTCAGAAGGGGATTGGCCAGTGTTGAGGCCCCGCCCCTTGCCCTTTGACCTCTCCTCCCGCGCGGACTGGCACGTGCCCCTCTCTCCGTTGACGTTTCCATGGAGACCTCAGAGCTCCTGGATGAGGTGGCTCAGTGCGTGCGAGAGCCCGGAGGAGCAGGACGCGAAGGAGAAGCTCCGTCTCTGCTCTGACCTCGGCTCGCTGGCGCACAGCTGCCTCTCGATGGGCAACTTGCTGTCTAGGTTTCTTTCTTTAACCCGCCGTCGCCGGGCCTTGCCCGGTGCCCGCCGCCCGGGGGCGCTCCCGGGGCGCAGGGGGGACGCCCCGCCGGGCCGCGCCCACCCCGCGGCCTCTGCGCCGGCCCTGGGCGCAGGGCGCTGGCTCCGCTCCCGGGGCCCCGCACCCGCAGCCTCTGGCCACCCAGCGGGGAGGAGGCCGGGTCCCCTCCCCCAGGCCAGGCGCTTCCCTCTGGGGGTCCTCCCCTTGGTGAGGTGGGAGGACCCCCCACCGAAGCCCCGGCTGCGCTTCCGGAACCCCAGGACCGTCTACATCCCTCCCCCAGACGGCAGGCTTGCTCCCCCCGGGCAGGCAGGCAGGGCTGTGCGGCCCAGACCAGCCGGAGCCATCCCACCTCCCTGCCCCCAGGACAAGGAGGTGAAGGTCCGAGAGGAGCCCCCAGAAGGGAGGGCTCAGCTCCCAGACCACCAGGTGCAGAGGGAGGATCGGGGAGGCCAGGCCAGCCCCTACAGCGCTGGGGACGCCCCACTCACGCCCAGGCCCCCCGAGACCACGGGCGTCCTCCCTCCCGGCGGGAGCAGCCCCGGGCCTCTGGCCCTCGGTGCCCAGCGCCCACAAGGCAGCTGGAGTGGGGGCGCCCCACCGTCCCCCGGGCCCCGCTCCTGGGGAGGCCCCGCGGGAGATGCCCCGCCTGCCCCGCAGGCCAGCCCCAGCCCAGGCTGCCTCCTGCAGCCACAGGGGCCCGCAGAGGGGGTGCCGCGGGCAGACCCCCCGCCCCGCGGCCCCGCGGCCCCGCCTTTGTGCGGGGAGATGGAGGCTCCAGAGCCACCAAGGAGCAGCCCTCCCCCGGCCCCCGCCCCCAGGAAGCCCTGCAAGAGGACCCTGCCCCTGCCCCTCCAGCTCCCGCTGCCCCTGCCCCTCCAGCTCCAGCTGCCCCAGCTGCGCTGGGACCGAGGGGAGCTGCCCCCGCCTCCCAAGCTGCCCTGCCTTGCAGGTGACTCCATTCTGGGCGCTGACACAGAGGCCCGGGCTGCCTGGGGTGCCACTCAGTCTGCCCCTGCCTCCCCCCCTCCTGGCTCAGCGATGGCAGACCCCCTGCCCTGGGCCCCTCACACTGGGCAGGTGGCCGCTCCCATCACAGCCGGGGGGGATGAAGGTTCCAACCCTCAGCCGACCTCCACCTCGGACGATGAGGACATGGAAATGGACACCACGCCCATTTGCTATGCTTGCACAATCACAACTTACCCTGACTCCAGCCTGAGGTTCCTGCCGGTTTACCAAATCCAGTACAGCGCCATCCCCCCACGGGCCCACTGGCCCTGAAGGGCTGCTGCTCCTCAGGCCGTCCACGGGCCCCACCGCCCCTCAGCCCACCCGAGGGATCCTCCTGGCCCCAGAAGGGACCCGCTCCCCAGCGCTCCTGTTAGCCCAGAGCCACACACTGGTGTGGCGTTGTCATGGAGATGCTAGACCAGGGAGCAGAAGTTCAGTTTGCCTTACACCTGCAGGCCCACCTGTGGGTATGAGTCCTAGGGCCCCATGGATGGTGGGAGCCCTGGGGCCAGTGACCACCCCAGGCCCACTCATCCCAGCATCCAGAGCATCTCCGTCAGAGACGGACCCAGGAAGGCACGCAGCTCTGCTTCTCCATCCCCCTTTGGCCCATGTGGCCGCAGCCTGGCTGCTGGGGAGGAGGAGCAGGCGTCCCCCAGTGTGTGCACACACCTCTGGTTCCCCTGAAATCCCACCATGAGCCCACCTGTGGGCACACAGGCGGTGTGGAGGAGGGGAGGGCGCCCCCGTCCCAGGTGGAGGCGCTAGTGCTGACACTGCCATCAGTGCCCTGCGGCCGCCTGGACACGGAAAACCTCCTGCCCTTGTAGCAGCCGCCACCGTGGAGAATGAAGGTAAGTCCCCAGAAGTCTGTCCCCACCTCTCCTCAGACCCCGGGGCTTTCCTGGCTGCTCGGCCTCCATCATCCATGCAGGTCCCACCTGTGGCCGCACTTTCTTTCCAAGCCCCGGAACCACCTGTGCAGAATGCGGGGGAGCCATGGGCGAGTCCAACCTCCCTCCCCTGACAGGAGGACCTGCTCTTCCCCCTTCCCATCAGGACAGCTGCGGCCAGCCTGGCCCACACACAGGTGGGCCCTCCGGGGAATGTCTCACCTGTGACGAGAGGCCACGTGGCACCACATCCATCAGATCAGGAGCAGCCCGGCTATCCAGTGGTGGGGCAGCACGCCCTGCAATGGCCGGATTGGCTTATGGGTCCCCTTCACACTGAGTCTTGAGTCCCTAATCAAAAGTAGGAAACAGCCGAGAGTCAGCCCCATATCAAAATAAGTGTGTGGACAGGACACGTGGGAGCATACTCGATGGTGGCGTGACTGTCAGAAAACCCCCATCACCTCTGAGCCATTGCTTCCTTGCTGTGAGAGCCTGGCTGCTCAGCTGCTGGAGAAGAGGGAAGGTGGTGAGCACAGGGGAGTCCACAGGGACTCGCAGGCACGTTCAGAGCCATTCTAGGACAGCATCCTTTCCTCAAACCACGGAGCCTCTACCAGGGCTCTTTGGTTCTGTATCTGCTATATCATCAGTGATGCCAGGCTGCAGCAACAAAGTAAAGAATCTCACTCTGCTTCCCTCTCATCGCCCCACAGGTAGTTCCCTGCCTTTCAGTGAGGTAACTTAACAGCAAACACCACAGAGACGCCCTGCAGTCAGTCCGTCTGCATTGCCTTCAGGCTGAACCCTGACTCCTCAGTCACAGCAGACTCGCTTGGAATCGCACAAATTAAAGGTCATGACATTCATCACAGAGTTACCTAATCCCTGAGCCCTTCCTCCTGTTTAGAAGGGGTGGCTGGTCATGGGGTGGGTGGGAAGAGCAAGAACTCTTCATGGTTTCTGCAGCTTGTTCACTTTCAGATGTGGTTTTCCGATGTGATAGTAAATATTTGATACCAGGCTACAGCACAAACCCTAATTTAATCAGAGAAAAGTTTAAGACTTGGTCTTGCAGCATTTCATATATTTTGATGACTTTTAAATAAAACAGCTGCTCTTAGCACTGCCTGGGTGCTGGCTACAGAAGGTCCCGTGACATAAGGTGATGAGCGATGGTTTGAGGTTTCAGGTTGGGGTGCAGCACAGAGCAGTGTTGGCTTAGAGGATTATGAATTCTGTGGAACAGGTGAGCGGGCATTCACTTCACTGTAAGCCAAATATTTACAGAAGCCCTGTTATATTTTTCTTAATGTTAAACAATAAAATCTGATAGGTTTTATGACCATAAAAAAATGGGATGTGAAGATGAAAGAGATAGTTCAAGGATGTGCTGATGATTGTGTTTTTATGAATAAGACCCTGAGTGGATGGAAATGAAACCATATCATTTAATGACAGGGGGAGAGAGGGCAACCCACATGGAGAGCACAACCCACATGGCAGTCTGCACCATCATCTGCACTCCTTTCAATCTGGAGCCCTGGGGGCTAAGACTCAGTGCCTTATAACACAACGAGGCTTTCTGTTGATTTGGAAAAGTATGATGGCTAAAGAAAGCTGCGTTGATCTCTACACTTGAAGTGGTTGTTCTGTTATGGTAGACGGGGTCATGGGGGAGTCCCCCCCATCAACCAACATGATTGGGGGAGTGGGGGAGATTCTTACCCTGTGCATTGCAAAAGCTAGAAAGATGAATGGACAGGGTCTGAGTGAGCCAACAGCAAGGAAATGAATGAGAGAGGGCGCAAGGCACCAAAAGCTAGAAAGATAATTGGGTAGAAAAAAGCCCTTCCATCCCTTTAAGAGCACAGGCTTGAGCAGAAGGGGGAATGGTCTTTGAGACATAAGTCCACTGTTCTCATAGCACGTGGCACCTGAATAAACCTCTTTCCTTTTGCACCAACATCCATCTCAGGAGTTTGGCTTTCCTTGGGGCAGGCAGCTGAACCTGCATTTTGGTTTCAGTTCGATAGGACTCTTTGTATAGTGTCTATAGTAAAACCCAGAACCTAAATCTAGGCATAGTTGTTCTCTGAATTAGTTCAAAGATGTGTTCATTATCCCTACAATTATACACATTTTAATATAGTGGATTGACTATAATATAGCATTTACTTTTTGCATGGTAATTTATAAAACTAACTCATTATCCTTTCTTTTCTTTTCTTTTTTTTTTTTTTTTTTTTTTGAGAGAGCATTAAATCAAGAAAATTGGAGAAAGAAATAGCCAACATATTGTAGCCCCAAACAGTCACCTATCAATGTTGATGAAGATCTTACACAAGTAATTGTGAATCAGAAGAAACTTAAATTTCAGAGTTTGAGTAAAACACCTTCGGAAAACACATTCATTCATAACACTAGTCGGAAAACAGGTAAAATATCTTCATTTTGTCTGGACCTTTAATACCTTTATTGGACCTGGAGCATATCTGGATTACTTTCATATGTTTTTCTTTTGAATAATGTACTACGAACTAGATAGAAATTTGATGCAAAGAAACCAAATAGAACATAAAACATTGGAAATTTAGACATTTTGAAAATGTGTACAAAAAATAAAATGACTAAAGTTGTAACATCATGTTCTCCAATAATATAACAATAATGATGCCTCCACTAGAAGATGTGATAAATATGACATATAGTTAATGTAATCTAATGACTCCATAATCACTTATTCAATCAGGATTTTCTTTTTTGGGGCATTATTAGCCTCATATTAATTGAATGTAAAAAAAAAAAAAAAAAGCAATGGACCATAATTAAATTTTAAGAAAAGAGAATATTTGCCCTTGTACATAAAAGTTTAAAATTACTGTATATACATGATGCATGGGAAGCACTCTCCAAGTGTTTTGCCTTGAGACTATCTTTTTAAAAACATATGCAAAATATCATACTCTAAAAATATAATTAGTGATAAATAAAATCATTTTTAAAAATAAACACCATTGTTTTTCTAATATATATTTTTAAAAATGTATGTATATCAATAAGTTAGGTAAAAACAAATATACCCATGGAGAAATGATTGGAAAACATATTAAAAATTACAGTAGTAGCCATGCTGAGGAGGAGGAGCAGGCATCCCTGCTGGTTCCCCTGAAATCCCACCCTGAGCCCACCTGTGGGCACACAGGCGGTGTGGAGGTGGGGAGGGCGCCCCTGTCCCAGGTGGAGGCGCTAATGCTGACACTGCCATCAGTGCCCTGCGGCCGCCTGGACACGGAAAACCTCCTGCCCTTGCAGCAGCCGCCACCGTGGAGAATGAGGTAAGTCCCCAGACGTCTGTCCCCACCTCTCCTCAGACCCCGGGGCTTTCCTGGCTGCTCGGCCTCCATCATCCATGCAGGTCCCACTTGCGGCCGCACTTCCTTTCCAAGCCCGGAACCACCTGTGCAGAATGCGGGGGAGCCATGGGCAGGTCCAACCTCCCTCCCCTGACGGGAGGACCTGCTCTTCCCCCTTTCCATCAGGACAGCTGCGGCCAGCCTGGCCCACGCACAGGTGGGCCCTCCGGGGAATGTCTCACCTGTGACGAGAGGCCACTGGCACCACATGCCATCAGATCAGGAGCAGCCCACTATCCAGTGATGGGGCAGCACAGCCTGCAATGGCCGGTTCGGCTTAGGGACCCTCTTCACACTGGTCCTTGGGCACCCCCGGACCCAAACAGTAGTGCTCTGCGGGGTAGCACCAGGCACTTTTACAGAGAAATGTCTCCTCTCAGGCACCTGCCTCCACCCCCAAGGTGGGGCCCTCTCACTTTGGAGGCGCCGGGACTGTGTGTGGAGGTGCCTGTGCTGGGCAGGGCAGACGCCAGCTTTGCAGCTGGGGCATCTGCCCAGGGATTCCTAAGAGCCACCAACCCGTTCTCCCACCAACCTCAGCAGACAGGACCTTCCTCCGGACCTGCGGAACATGGACACGCTCCGCTGGGAGAGGCCGAGCCCCTGCAGGGGAAACTGAACCTGCTGGTCCTGCTTCAGGTCAGGGGCCACACCGCAGGGGTCTGTGTGTGAGGGGGGTTGGGGGGAACAGGGGCGTTTGAGAGTGAGGGACAAATGAGCACAGCTGAGAACTACCTGCAGCTTAAATCCCTTCAACAGCCCACCAGACGTTCAAACCCTTGTTCTGGCATGTCAATCCTCAAGATCTGCTCACCCTACCCACTCCTCTCCTCTCCCTGCCTTGCATTTTCTGTATCAGCGCATAGAACTTCCCGCTGTGTCCCCAAATAGCCATTCTGTGCTCATGCTCTTCTCTCCTTCCAGATTCCTCTGGCCCTGACTTCCTTCACCACCTTCCATT